AAGTGGGTGCTTGGAATCAAACCTGGGTCCTTTGGAAGAGCAGCCAGTGCCCTTAGCTCCAAATCCAATGAGTCCCCAATGACACTATTCCTATTGCCACATTCTGAGTACTGAGAGTTAGGGCCTCAACCTGTGTAATTGAGGGGGACCAAACTCAACCTGTAGCAATGGCCTGTCTGATCTTGACTGTATGGCAACCATTGCTGCTTGACGAAGTTCCAGCATTTCAACTTTGCAGATCACAATTCTCCAGCACCTATTACTCTCATGTTTAATGATTCTCACTGTGTGTTATGGGAGTTCCCTTATGCCTTTTCCTTTGGGAAATTTTGTTCAGCTTTGAAATACAAAAATGTATAAAATGACAGTCTCTTTAAACAAAATAATTCTTTGGAAAAAATCCCCACCACCATGGAACCATATAGCATGATAACTCTGCCTACTCCCACACAAGTTAACACCAAGGTGCTTCAAAATTTAGATGAGTAATATATGCTTGAAAACTAAGGTAGGTATATTTGATAATGAAGATTTATAGATTCCTAAGGTCTGCTCAGTTTCACAGTAATATTTGTATAGCCTCCTTTTTGCTCACTTTAAGCTTTAGTTTTTAGATAAACTAAGCCAAATTTAAAAACTTCAATATTCCATAATAGAGAAAGTCCTTTTCCCAAAGTCAGGCATTTAGACAAAAGCCCCCATTTCCTCAGGGGTTTGAAGAAAGTTCCTGCTTGCTAAAAAGGAAGTCATCCTTATCTCTGGCAAGAGGAACTTGTGGCCCTTCCATTAGTATATGACTGGTGCCTATTAACTTGTGAAGGTCAATGCCAGCTTCCACAATCTCTGATCACAAGCCACATGCCCTTTGCTCCCATTGAATCCTGTGTGCAATTATAAACAGTGTAGCCTTTTTTTTTTTTTTTCAATAAAGTGGCAGCCTTCCCTATTCAGACCGTGCCAGTCTCCACTTTTCCCTCACCGACTCCACACCTCCTTTTTGGGACCTGGACTCCCTGCAGCTTTATCTAGCTATTTCCACAAGTGCTTACTGCTTCCTCTGCTGGTCAGCTATATAACCTGGCTCCATGGATCAACCATGAAATCACTTGGACCAAAAATGTATAAATAGAAGCAAAATGTGTATATCCAAACAGGAACTTCTATGATCTTTTGTTTTAAAGTAGGTTGTGTTTTGGACAGAGACTGACTGTGTCTCAGGATGAGTGGTGCGGAGCAGAGCAGCAGCCGAGTCTCAGTGTATATAGGTGTATATATAGTATAAACAAAAGGAAAACCTTTATAATCTTATGCTATTAAATATATTAGGGCTTGGAAGATTGTGCAGAGGTTAAGGCGCTTGTTGCAAAAGTGTGAGGATCTACATTCCAATCCCCAAAACTTACACAAAGCTGAACAAGACAGCATGTATTTGTCCCAGCCCTCCTATTGGTAGGTGGGAGACTGAGGATCTCAGAAACTCCTATGGGTAAATGGGAGACCGAGAATCTCCCAGAAACTCAGGAGCTAGTGAGGTATACACAGAGGCAAACAAGAGGCCCTGTCTCAATTCTAAAAATTGGGGGTCCTTTATTATTGCAGCATAAATTAACTTAAGCTGACAGATATAAGTACCTAACTTAACTTCAGTGGCACTATAATGTGAACGAATTTTTTTCATTCATCATATATTTGTTGAAAGCTCACCATGTGCTGCACATAGGACTCTGCTGGTGTCAGCTTGGCTAACAGATACCTAAGCACCTAAATACCTGTTCAAACGCCAGTGTAGTTATGCTGTGAAGGTAGTTTTTAGATGAAATTAAAATTTAGAGTAGTGTGCTTTGAGAAAAGCTGAGTAGTCGCCATAATATGGGTGAGATTTGTTCAGTGGATATCTTAGGAGAAAGAAACCTAGCGAGCGCCCCACCTAGGGTGTAAGAGTCCTGACCTCAGATTCCAGCTGTAATGTGGGTTCTCTCCTGTTGTCTGCTCTGCATATTGCTGTTTGGCCAAGTCCTTGAGATAAACCTCTCACACTTCCTATTGGTTCTGTTCCTCTGGAGAACACATGATAGCACATAATAGCACAGCAGTGCACATGTTAGTTCATAATCTAAGGGCATACAAATGAATGAACGAATGAATGAAAGGGAAACGGTTGCTTGCTGTTTTGTTGATGGTTATTCAAAACTCAGTGCTACCTGGCACAATTTTATTTCGAACATGGAATTCAGGGGAGGGGACATGCTTGGGGAGGTCTCTATAGCAGTGGCTCTCAACCTGTGGGTCACGACCCTTTTGGAGGTCACATATCAGATGTCTTTGCACTATGATACATAATAGTAGTAAAATTATAGTTATGAGGTAGCAATGAAATACTTTTATGGTTGGGGATCACCACAATATGAGGAACTGTCTGTTGTGGGGTGTTTGTACACTGAGTGAAAATGTATTGCTGTGATTGGTGTAATAAAAAGCTGAACAGCCAATAGCTAGGCAGGAAGTATAGGCGGGACTTCTGGGCACAGAGAGGAAGTAAGAGAGATATCAAGACGCCAACGGGAAGCAAAGGGAGTCGAACATACAGAGTGAAAGAAAGGTAAAAACCTCGTGGCAAAATGTAGATTAAGAGAAATGGGTTAATTTAAGTTGTAAGAGCTAGTGGGACACGCCTAAGGTAAGGAAAGACTCATTACAGATGTTTTAAAGGGTAGCAGCCTTGGGAAGGTTGAGAACTACTGCGTATAGTGAAGCTGAGAGACGCTGGTGTGGAAAGACAGTGTTGGTGGAGGAAAGACTACATGAAGAGTAAGAGTTACGCACATCGTTTGAGAAAGCCGGTGGGTGAGGGGTTGAACCGTGATGGAGGGGAGGCATGGCAGTAGAGGGAAGTGGCTGGCTTAGATGGAGACTTGGAATAAAATGAAGTCAAAATGTGCCTTTTTATCTCAACTAACTAAATTTGAAATAGTTGTACTTCATGTCTACTTTGTCTGTTGTACTCCATAATGACTTTTTTTTCGGTTTGTGGGGGAACAGTGCATGTAGGAGGGGTGCACATGCCCACAAATGGGAATTTGGCGGCCCAAGGTCAGCATCGGATGTCCTTCTCACTTGCTCTCTACCTTATTTTTGAGGCAGGGTCTGTCATCGATTTGGTCTGGAGTTCACTGTTTGAGATGTACTGGCTGGACCGGGAGCCCCTGGAATCATCCTATCTACTCCCACCCCCACCTCAGTCTGGGAGTTACAAGCCATGTGAGAGCCAGGCAGTGGTGGTGCACCCGGCAGAGGCAAGCGGATCTCTGTGAGTTCAAGGCCAGCATGGACTACAGAGTGTGTTCCAGGACAGTCAGGGCTGTTACTCAGAGAAACCCTGTCGCAAAAAAACAAAAACAAAACAAAAAAACAAGCCATGTGAGAACCTGGCTTCTACATGGGTGCTTAGGATCTGAACTCAGGTCCTCATGCGTACACAGAAAGCGATTTACCCGCTAAGCCATGTCCCCAACCCTGGCTTGTTTTGTCAAGACAGGGTTTCTCTGTGTAGTTTTGGTGCCTGTCCTGGATCTCACTCTGTAGACCAAACTTACAGCGATCCACCTGGCTCTGCCTCCCGAGTGCTGAGATTAAAGGCATGCCCACCACCGCCCTGGCCTTTTTACAGATTTGCATTTCTGGTTACATGCTGAGTGAATCATTAAGTTCTCAACACTGTTTCAGAAAGAGAGAAAGGCCTTTGTTAAAAATATCTTTTTCTGTCCTTCTGGGTCTTTTGAGTTTTATAATTGTATTCTCTAGAGTAGCACAATGTTCAGGTGAGACTTCATCAAAATGCTCTTCTAGAAGTGTATTAACTTCCAGAGAATTTGCTTGTGATTCCCTTCACTGGAGTTTCAAAGATTGCAAATAGGAGGCTGAGGAAGCTATTTCTTTGATATCGTTATTGGAAATAGAATGAGAACAATGTTCTATTTAATAACTGTTATCATTATCTCTCTCCCAGATTGAATTAAAATTGCTTTAATATTCTATTATAAAATTCCTTGCAGAAATGCTGTCAATCATTTTTCTTATTTCCACCAGCCTGCTAACAATGAACTCAAAGCTAATTCAATACTTTTGAGAAATAGTCAAAACGTAGCTTTTGAATTGAAAGAACTGAAATATTGTGTATGGTATGATAATTATAACTTCTAATATTTTCCTACTACATTCTTAGCTTGCTTGCTTGCTTGGTATTAGTAGACCTAATGGGAATGATGACTGTATTTTAAGCAGCAACTTCCAGTCATGTTTTTTAGAAGGTCTTAGTATGTGAAAGACTGTAGAAGATAGTTTAAGTATGGGCTGTAGAGAAAGGTCATGAGCTCAAATCTTGGGCTGAGCCTGTTTGAGATTGTTTTATAAACTTTGGCAGATGTGAAAAGTTTTTTTCATCTCCATCTTCATGGTCCCTCTCAACTTTGCTCATTCATAAATGGGATTCATGTAAAGCACACAGAAAGGTGCCTGGTATATAAGCATTGCTTCCTGATGTTAACTAGCATTATCTATAACCCATTATTAAGGAATTCAGAACCATTTATTGAGTACTTCCTGTAGGCCACAGGAAGAACTTCCCTATAGAAATCTGGATGTCTAATACGCTATGCAACCTTCATAGCATGGCTCAAGATTCTCTTGAATCCTCTTCCTTTGATATTGTTATTAAGCTCTTGAAAGTGTTTCAAGCCTTTAAATTAACTCTTCATGCTGGGGTGGTATTTTTGTCCTTGGGTGTGATTGTAAAGATTTGAGGGCCACAAGGAAAAGCGTTCTCTAAAACAGTGGGGGAAGAGTTAACAATTCTGTAGAACTTTGCACTGGGTTCTAAAACTTCTTTCCATGGTACCATTTACAAAGTAACAGAATTAAAAAGCAAGAGTGGCCCACTGTTTAGTGACCTCTTTGAATTCTGACTAAATGATTCAAAGAAACTTTCAATGTGTATCTTTCAGAAAATGGCTTTGAAATTCAAAAATGCCAAACGAATCGAAGGCCTGGACAGCAATGTGTGGTGAGTGTCTTAGACAAGTGGCCGTGTGGGGAAGTTTCCTGTGGTCCCTTAAATTGGATTTTTAGCTTCAGCCGCAGTCCAATAATGAAGCGATTCATTTAATTCCTCTCATTAATTACAATCAAATGGGAGAAAGCTAGCCTCCGGGCTAGCACTGGATATATGGCAGAGAATATCTAAAACTAAGTTTGACTGATGCTTTCATGAAATTTACAACAAACTGTTTCCTTTTCTTTTTTTCTTGAAGTGGGGCTTGGTTATGCATGTAGCCCAGGCTGGCCTCAAACTCTTGATCCTCTTGCCTCAGCCTCCCCAGTGCTGGGATTACAGGCATTTACAGGCATTAATATTTCTACATATGTATATGACACAAACATGAATGTTACTAAATTGAGGTCTCTAGGGAAGATAGGATCATTAGTTCAACCATCATTTACTAGATAATTTTATCTTGTGGATAGTAACGTTTTTGTTGGGAACTCATTATACTTCATCTCTAAGACTAAGTCCTATTTAGAGGGGGATTATAATGAGAACATATGAGTTTTGTTTTGTTTTTCAAAACAGGGTTTCTCTGGGTACCCCTGATTGTCCTGGAACTCATTCTGCAGACCAGGCTGGCCTTGAACTCAGAGATCCACCTGCCTCTACCTCCCACATGCTAGGATTTAAAGGCATGAGTCACCACTGCCTGACTGAGAACATAGGAAACTGAAGCTAACTCTGCAATTTTAGTACTTTCTAATTTCAGTTGTTTTCTCTTTTCTAATCAGGGTTGAATTTACTAAGTTGGCTGCAGATCCTTCTGTTGTGAATCTTGGACAAGGCCTTCCAGATATATCCCCTCCTCCATACGTAAAGGAAGAATTATCAAAGGCTGCATTAACTGATAACCTGAATCAGTATACGAGGGGCTTTGTGAGTTTACCGGGGCCATGTGGGGCATACAATGATACCTCCAGGTGGAGTCTGTGTTTGTGTGTGTGAACTCCTCTTCCTTAAAGGATATTGTCTTTCTGGGATCAACTGTCCCAACCTGGAAGGTCAGAAGCCCCTTACCCTTACCTCTGAGATGAGCCTTCCCCAGCTTCCAGCCCTTTCACAGTCCTATTTCAGCCCTTCATTGACTGCTGTTCTGAAATGAGATGGCAGGACATCAAGGGAAGGGAAATTATTCTCTCAACATCTTTGCTGTCTCATTGACACTCATGTAGCCTTAGCATTGGCTTCTTAAGGAACCCTGTTTCTGACTAGATGCTTGCTTCCTCCCTAGCCTCTCTAACCCCTTATCCATCATCTACTGAAATGCCCAGGTATCCAGACATTTTAGATTAGATTAACTTTGAACTAGATGTTTGTCTGCCCTGCCTGAGAGCCGTGTGGTTATCATTATGACTGGTTATCTTTTCCTTTCCTGAGAGTGTGGAAAATGAGGGGGACAGGATATGGAAAGAAGTCTTTACATTTTGTCATTGTGAGTCTAACTATGAAAGTCCCCACAGTCCACACAGGGCTTTGCTGTGGGGATGTGAGCACAGGGGAAATCAGCGAGATTGACCTGACCAAGATGGTCACAGGGCTCTCATGATCTCACTGTCTTCTCCAGGATGGCTATTGCTATGGTAAAATACCATGGCCAATAGCAAATTGGGGAGGGTTTTTTTTTTTCATCTTACAACTTGTAGTCTATCATTCAGGGAAGCCAGGAAAGGAACTCAAGGCAGGAACTTGGAGGCACGAATTGATGCAGAGGCCATGGAGCAGTGCTGCTTACTAGCTTGCTCCTCATGGCTTACCCAGCCTGCTTTCTTATAGCATCCAAGACCAACAGACCAGGGCCCTCCCACATCACTTATAAATCAAGAAATTGTGCCATAGGCTTGCCCATAAGCCGGTCTGGAGGGGCGGGCATTTTCTTGCTTTTGTTTACCTCTTCCCAAATGACTCAAACTTGTGTCAAATTGGCACAAAACTAGCCAGCCCACTCACTAACTAACCAGCCTAAAAGCCCCCATATCAGACCTGAAACTGAGGAAGTTGTAGGAGAAAATGTAAGGGAAATCGGTCAAGGTATTGGTATAGGCCGATTTTCTTATAAAACCCCCAAAGCACAGGTAACAATAGCAAAAATAGACAAATGTGATTTTACGAAACTAAGCAATTTGTGTATGTCAAAGAAGCATAACAGAATAGAGGCAACCTATAGAATGGGAGAAAGGTGCTCATCAGACACAGGATGAGTGTCTAAAATGCATAAGGAGGTGGAAAAGCTAAATAACAAAAAAAGGTTTTAATCTGCATTTCTCAAAAGAAGAAATAGAAGTGGCTAGAGTGTACAGAGACGTGTTTACTGTCACTAATCATCGGGAAAATGCAAATAAAATCATGAGAAATCATTTCAGCGTGGGCAGAATGGTCATTATTTAAAAATCAAAGCATAGCAAGTGAAGAAGAGGGAGAAAAAAATCTCTTCTGCACCCTTGACATCACTGTAAATTAGTGCAAGTGTCACGACAGGCAGCGTGAGTAGGGCTGGCGAACTGACCCAGGGGGCGAAGGCGCTTGTTAAGACTGACAGCCTGAGTTTGATCCTTGGGACACACGTGGTGGAGGAAGAGAACCAACTCTCCTGTAGTTCTCTGGCCTCCACATGCACAACGTGGCGTGGATACCCTCCTCCAACACACAATAAATTGTTGTGGGATGTTTGTATACTGTGAAAATGTATTGTGATTGATTTAATAAAAAGCTTACCTGCCAGTAGCTAGGTGGGACTTGCAGGCAGAGAGAGGAAGTAGGAGGAGATAATGGAGGCTCAGGGAGACACAGAGCAAGCAGGATGTACAGGAGAAGAGGTAACAGCCACGAGACACATGGCAGAATGTAGATTAATATAAATGGGCTAATAGTCTTCTACAGCACAAACAGGAATGATAATTCACAATAACCTGTTATATATTTGAAGAACTATAATAGAAGAAAGGAGCTTGAAAGTTCCAAAGAAATACTGGAGGAAAACGATAATTATGGATTTTATCGATATACTGTGGTCAGGTGTTAAGGTATCACACTGCACCTTAAATATGTGCAGTTATTGTATGTTAGTTAAATAAAAAGTTACTTATTTCAGAATATGGGTTGAACCCAGGGCCCTTTACCTGCTAGGCAAGCACTCTAGTACTAAGCTATACTCCCAGCCCCTAAAGAGGAAGTTTTAGTGTGAGAATCGCTACATAGCTCACAGTGTGTACGTTTGTTATCCTCTCATCTTACAGGAATCGCTGTCCTTGGGAACTAGTCTTTTCTCATCAGTGGATAATACTCTGCTTCCCGGTAGCATATGCCATCAGCAACACTAGCGTGTGTGTTTGATCAGTTTGGTTTTTCTTCTTTTAGTCCATAGCAGGACTAAAAGCAATTGAGAACCTCCCCAGCAATTGAGAAAAGCAGATTCAGGGGATATATCGAATGCAGGATTTTTACATTCATTTAATTTTTGTGCTATTATAAATATACTGGGAGGGAGTTCATTTCTATTCAAAACAAATGCTTTGAAATTTTGTGTTTCCAAACCTTTTCTTTTATGGATACTTTTCATCAGCAGCAAGTTTACATAACCATTTATAGAGACCCTCAAAGTGCAAAGGCTTTTAAAGTTTATTGCTACTTTGGAAGTACAGATTTGGAGGCTGGAGGGATGGCTCAGTAGTTAAGAGCACTTCTTGCTCTTGCAGAGGACCTGGGTTCAATTCCCAGCACCCACACAGTGGCTCACACCTGCCTGTAACTTCAGTTCAAGGGGCTCCAACACCCTTTTCTCTCTCCACTACACTCGTGTGGTACACATACACACATGTAGGCAAGATGCCTGTACATGGAAACTAAATCTTTAAAAGTACAAATGTAGGAATAATGCTAGATATTAAACCCAGTTTTAAAAATGGTTACATTTTAGAGTTAGATTGCCTTAAAGTAGTAGTTTTCATAATCAATTTCCAGGTGGGTTTTTGTTTTATCTTAATCTTTACTACAACAGGGTCATCCAGCACTTGTGAAAGCTTTGTCCTGCTTATATGAAAAAATTTATCACAATCCAATTGATCCAAATGAAGAGATCCTTGTGACGGTGGGAGGATATGGGTCTCTCTTTAACGCCATTCAAGGATTGGTTGACCCTGGAGATGAAGTAAGTGTGTGAACACTGTATCCATCCACATCAGTGCTTCTGTCCTGCATTGAAACTTCTCCTCACTGTGCTCCTTTCTCTTTCATTTTCAATCCATTTTGAAGTCTAGTGATGGTACAGTAAAGCTAGCAAGCCTTGAATGTAGAGGGGGATAAATTGCCATGTGACTGTAGTGCACATAAAGATTTACACCTTTCCAGCGTCCAGAGACGTTGAGCCCTTTCCTGTGCCTGTTCTCCGAGAGTTAACCAGTATCCTGTAATCTGCACCTAGTCATTCTCATGGCTCTTCTACTGGACAGAAGTTGGAATCATGTACAGGCTCTTGAGTTTTGTTTTGTTTTGTTTTTTCATTCATTATTATGTCTGTGAGATTTGTTCACTTTGTAGCATAGTTAGTTAGTTTGCTTGTTTGTTTGTTTGTTAGTTTGCTTGTTTGTTTTTGAGACAGGGTCTCCTCTAGCCCAGGCTGACCTAACTTTGTATATGACTGGCATGTAGACACATGCACACGCACACGCACACGCACACGCACACACACACACACATTGGGCTAGGTTTTCAAAAGATATAAAAGCGTGGGCTGGTGAAGTGGTTCCCTGGCCTGGCAAGGGGCTCCCTTGGTAAAGCCATTTTCTGCAAAGCCTGAATTTGATTTCCAGAACCCACACGATGGAATAAGAGAACCAACATTGGCAAGTTGTCCCTTGACTCCCACACGTACCCCATGGTGCACACAAGAGCATATACACAACAAATAAACAAACAAATGTAAGTGAAACTGTATAAAAGCAAAAAGCTAGGTAAGTGTGGTGATGTGTGCCTGCACTCCCAGAACTTGGGAGGTTAAGCCAGGAGATCAGGACCATTACGGCTAGATAAGATCTTATTTCAGTGAGAGAAAGGCAGGCAGGGAGGAGAGTGTCTTCATTACTTTTCTATTTCTGTGACAAAATACCATAACCAAGGCAGTTTCCAAAAGAGTTTAATTATGAGCCTGCTTGGTTTCAGAGGGTGAGAAGAGACCATGACCATCATGGAGGAGAGCATGACAGCAGGTAGACAGACAGTCATGATGCTGGAGCAGTAGATGAGAGCGTTCATGTTGAGATGACAACTGTGAGGCAGAGAGAGAGCCGAGTGGAAGGAAGTGGGCTTTTGAAACCCCACTGACACACCTCCTCCAACAAAGCCACACCTCCTAATCCTTTCCAAACAGTTCCATAAACTGGGGACCAAGCATTCAAACACATGAGCCTGTGAAGCCGTTCTCACCCAAACCCCCACAGAGATAAAAGAAAAAAGCAGGAAGGTCCTAGATTAGGTCTGCAGCCTGGAGTGTGATGGCAGCAGACCAGATTAGCTGCTCAACCTGAAACTGCAGCAGGGGTGGTTGGAGAAGAGTTTTGAGGGGTGAGAAGTCTGATCCAAAGACTTGGGGGAAAACGATGCTAGGTACCACATTCCTGGGCGAAGGGGCTGCGGGCATCACACCAGAACAATAGCATCCACTCTGCCCCCTGATTCACTCACATGTTTAATCTCAAGATACTATCTTAAATTAGCACTTCATTCTAGAAACCACTGCAATGTTCGTTCCTGTCACTGTCTGGTATATCAGGTTCCTCCTCCGTTGTGTTTTCTAACTTGAAATACAAAAACATCCTTAACTGGTTTTGCTTAGAGCATCCCTTTGAGAATATGGTGAGCAGTCCAGGCCCCAGATAAATCTGGGTGTGCACCTATAATAATTGACAATTTCGAATGTCCCCACTGTAAGTCTCTCCAAGGATTTCCCGAGAGACCGAGAACTCCAGCGTTAACTCCCAGGATGCCTTTATATCTAGGGTCTTTTGTACATTCACTCCATGAGGACAGGCCTGTCTTTTCCATTGCTGCATCTCTTAGCACAGCGCCTCCCGTGTAAGAGGCGCCCCATCATGAGCTGAATTGCTTGCTGATGCCCTGTGTTCTTGTCTGCTTTTATCTCAGGTGATCATAATGGTGCCTTTCTATGACTGTTACGAGCCAATGGTGAGAATGGCTGGAGCAACGCCTGTGTTCATCCCCCTGAGATCTGTAAGTCCCCAGGAGGCCCACCCACTGGTTGAACAATGTTTTGAATTGCCAATGACTTTGTCGTTGAAGGCATAGCTAAGCCCTTTGAAAATAATGAACACAGTAGCTAAGGTGACTCGCAGGCTCCTCTGTCAGCCTTACGTTGTCACACGCTGCCTGTAGATACTGCGGCTCCTGGGAAGGAACAACAGCTGTTGTGCTGCCAGGGTTCACTGTTTCCTTTAGCAGGTGCGTACATAAGACTCGGGTCCTCTGGGTTCCCGCGGTTGAATGAGGGCCTAATTATTTGTGTTTGTGTTCTTCGTTAGTCATTTATTCAGTTACCTTCGTCAGGTCTGTCTTTAATCTTCTTTTTTCTTTATGAGGCTGTTTGTCAGACAGTGAACATGAATCAATTTGTTCAAATCACATCTTAATTGGTTCAAATCACATCTTTATTCTTCATGCTTAGAAACCTACTGATGGGCTGAAGTGGTCTAGTTCTGACTGGACATTCAATCCTCAAGAACTGGAAAGTAAATTTAGTTCTAAAACTAAAGCCATTATATTGAATACGCCACATAACCCCATTGGCAAGGTAAGTGAGCCTCTTTGCTTACACGGGCTGGGGGGGGGCGCTATTTTCTCACGTGTTGAATGACTGGCTGTGCCCTTTCCTTTAATATGTGCAGGTGTATACCAGAGAGGAGCTGCAAGTCATTGCTGACCTTTGCATCAAGCATGACACCCTGTGCATCAGTGATGAGGTGTACGAATGGCTTGTCTATACCGGACATAAGCATATAAAAATAGGTACTGATTATGACAGAGCCTCCAGTCTGAGGGTTTGGGCACATGTGGAACAACATATGGATCCCGGCCAGCTTTAAAACAGTCTCTGTGAAGGGTATCTATGTGAGCACTTACCAGAAGTATTTAGATGGATCGTACTTGAATGATTAAAGTTCAGCTTGATGAACAGATGTTCATGTCGGGGAGGGACTTGAGATCACAAGATAAAGCTGGGGCGTGAGCGGAGCAGTTCTTTTCCCTATCTTTGGCTTCTGAACAAGAATCCTGCTGTTCTTTGGTGTGTAAGACACTAGGGCGGAACTTTTCATGAAGAGGTTCGTGATTGTTGGTGCCGAACGAGTTGCTAAAATAACAGCAAGAAATTTTAGAATGGCAAGCTATTGCTGTTCTGTCCTCAGCAGGATTTTGCAATTGCCGCTGGGCTACCCCACCCAAATACTGCAGTATCATCAGGTGTGGCCAAGCTCTCAACTGTAGGACTGGAAGCTGTGAGGGTGACCTTTGGGTGTTGTACCTGTCTTTCCTTTGCCTAGACACACTGTCCCTCTGGTGTCCACATGACTCCCTCTGGTCTTGTTCCCGTGTCACTCTTGCTCACCTCCAGCCTTCGCTTCCTTCACTTTTATTTTGTTGTTCCCTCTGTAGTTAATAGAATCTCTGCATTTTGTTTCTAAATAACAAGGATGAGATTATTTGTGTTGGCCTCTTCTAAATCCTCATTTTGCACATTAGAGTCTTACACTTGAGGTATAAGTGCCTCAGCTTGAAACACCCCATAGTCAATAGAGGGAACCTCAATTGAAGAATTGTCTGAATCACAAAGGCAGATGGCCACTTGCATGAAAGACTGTCTTGATTGATGGTTGATAAGAAGCTGCAGCCCACTGTGGGCAGTACCATCCTTAGGCTAGTCGTCCTGGTCAGTATAAGAAAAACCACTGAACATGAGCCTGTGAGCAGCATTCCTTCATGGTTTTTGCCGTGCTTTCTGAGCTGTAGATGAGTCCCAGCCATGACTTCTTCAATGATGTACTGTAATAGCAAAGAATAAGCCAAATAAACCCTTTCCTCCCCTAATTTGGTTTTGCACATGGTATTGATCACAGGAACAAAAAGCAAATTAGAACATTAGGCAATCAAATGTCTTTGCTGAATAAGATGAGTAGGAAACATGGAAAGGAGAAGGTAAAGATATATGTGTGAACAGAAGTTACCATACTTGCTCCAGTATTACATTATAAATGGCCACAGAGATGGAAGGAGGGGATTAGAATGTAACAAGTCTTTCTCCATCCCACCAGCCAGTTCCCAAATCACAACACGCAAACTTGTTAATTATGACAGCTTGGGCAGTAGGTTAGGCTTGTTTCTAACTAGCTCTTACAATTGAAGTGAACCCATTTCTATTAATCTATGTGCTGCCAAGTGACTCATGGCTGTTACCTCTCCTCCTGCATATCTTGCTTGTTCTCTATCTCTTGGCATCTCTGCCTTCTTCCCAGTGTTCTCTCTGCCCCAAAAATTCTGCCTAGCTATTTGCCATTCAGCTTTTTACTAAACCAATCCAAGTGACACATCTTCACAGTGTACAAAAAGATTACTCCACAACATTAGGAAGCCATGCAAAAACCTTAGAGAAGGGGTAAAGAAGGCAAAGGTCCTGAGTCAGCATCTTTATTAAACCAATCACAGCGACATATATTCCCACAGTGTAAAGGAGTATTCCACATGCACTGTGGCATGAGCATGCATACACACACAAACTGAATGAATAACTATAATTTTTGAAATCTTATAAAATGGTGTAATTTTTTAAATCAAATTTTGGATAATTAGCTCAATTTGGCAATATTCATCCTTAAAAGGACTTGAAGGATCTCCGAATGTATTGTTTACTTATAAATAATAAGTACTCAGAGTACAGTATAACTGACATTACTTGCTAAAGATATATAAAACTTTAAAATGTTTTTATTGATTGGGCACTCACACGTGATAGGATGTATGTTGAAGCCACAGGACAGTGCTGTGGAGTACATGTTCTCCTCCCACCTTTCTCTGAGTTCCAGAGATCCAACTCAGGCTTTCCCAGCAAGTGCTGTTACCTACCAAATCATTTTGATGGCCCTCAAGACATATTTTTACTCAGATTTGTTTTAGTTGTTATAGCAGCCTATAAAATTAAAATAACACAGAAATATGAAATTACTGTTTAATTACTTAGAAAATGCAGTTTGTTTGCACTGAAGCATGGGTGTGCAACCAGTTACAACAGTCTGATGTGAAAGACACGAATGACCATTGCAGTGTGAGGGCTTTCTAATGCAACACACTAAGGCCTTTTTCCACACAGGCACTGCTCCCTGTGCGGTGCTCTTCATCACGTCTCCTGCCTTCATACACAACAAAAATAAAATTAAAAATCTGAAAGAGAAAAGAAAATAGAGAGCTAGGTGTGGTGGTGTATACCTTTGATCCTAGCACTTGGAAGACAAAGTCTGTGCATTCACAACCAGCCTGGTGTACATAGCCAGTTCCAGGCCAGCCAGAACTACATAGTGAGATCCTATCAGAAAAAGAGGAAGAAAGACAATGGTAGAATTTCCTCTTACTGAATGAGATTTCTCGGATCAGATATCTCCCAGTAACAAAACTAACATTTCAACCATCACAAAGAACTTCCTCTCTACCCCTGAAAAAAAGGGGGGCAGGGGCATCCACTTTTATATGGTTAAAATATTCATTGACAAATTTCTTAGCTCATTAAAAAAAAAAAAAAACACTGATTACATTTCATATTGTAGCACAGAATGTCTGCCCTCCCCTCTTCTGCCTGCCTAAACTGATGTCGTATTCCAAATTTTAGCCAAATCATCTCTGGCCCAGGAGACCTCCCTTCGCCTTCCACCCTTGCCTGGCACCCCTGTCCGCCCCTAGTCCAGCCCCCAGCACAGTGCCACCGCTGCCATCTTAGTGTCTGCTTCCTCGGCTAGACCTCAAGCTTTTAGAGACAGAAGCCACATACTCCTCTGTGTCCTTTGATGCTTTGTTACTAAGAAAGATGTGATGGACAAATGTGAATGAGCGGCATTGGAAGACATCAGCCAAGGATGGCTTGGTGACTCGCCTCTGGTTGGTAAACTTGTTCTGAAATGAAAGGTGGTAATGCTTGTGCAATAGACTGAGCTAGATGATACTTGTATTATCTAAAAAATGTGGAAGTAACTAGACTGGTACTATTTAATATCTCTGTTTTCACTGAGTTCATGTTGTCTGCACTGTTTTTAGATTATACTAAATGAAAAGTAATTGAAAAGGAAACATGTAGGCAGTTATCTGTTTCTTTTCTTTTTTTTTTAAGCCACTTTTCCGGGTATGTGGGAGAGAACAGTAACAATAGGAAGTGCAGGCAAGACTTTCAGCGTGACGGGCTGGAAGGTAAGAGAAGGAGCCCCGCTGGGCTGGGGTGTGGCTCAGGGCAGAGCACCAACTGCATGTGAAAGGCCCTGGCTTCAACCCCCATCACCCTCCAGAAAAAGGAGGCTGTTACACAGAGAAACCCTGTCTTGGAAATAAAAAAATAAGCCCATACTTTAATTTCTGCAGACTATTTTGAGTTTTAAATGCATACATAATATATGTGGGGTTTATATTTAGTGATTTATTTATTTATTTATTTATTTGTTTGACTCTCATGTCAAGCTTCAACCTTTTATTTTTAATTGCATGTATTTATTTGGGGTCTGGGGGCTGTGTGCTGTGGTGTGTGTGTGTGTGGAAGGCAGAGGACAACGTGTAGGAGTCAGTACTCTCCTTCCAACATATGGATCCCAGAGATTGAACTCGGGTCCTCAGACTTGGCAGCAAACAAGTTCTTACCCTCTGAACTATATCCCTGGCCCACGTTTCATCCTTTTTGAGACCAAGTAATTTCCTTAAAAGAAAGAAGAATCAAATTATTATTTAAATTTGTTTAAATTTTATGAGTGATCAGCTAATGATACTTTTTTCTTCACAAAGAATATTCCCATGTGAAAAGAGAAAAATAACACTGGATAATACTCTGGCTTTAACTCTGGCCCGAACGCTAAGTGTTTTTAAGCATGCTAATTCTTTTCATTCTTATAAGCACAGTATGAAGTGGGCAAGGTTCTCATCCTTGATTTACAGATTATAAAACTAAATCACAGGAATTTTTACTGTCTGCTGAGATTACACTGCTAATAAACCCAAGCCAGGGCAGGTAGCCTACCTTCAGAGTCCATTCACCAATGAATGTACTGTTGATCATGGCAATGCATTCATCAGGATCTATAATCTTGAGCCATAGGGAGTGGAGGCAAGAAAATCAGGACCTCAACATTCTCTTCAACTAAGCTACAAGAGATAATGTCTCAAAGCGACAACAGATACTCCCCCAGTTGAAATTCAATTCTCTTTCAGCCTTACCGATAGAAGACAGGGCTAAGACACAGGGAATGCTAGGAGACCAGGAGAATTACAAATCGGTGTGCTTTCATTGTGGAGGAGTCCTCTGAGCTGTTATGCAGAATGACTTGTGCCTGTACTTCAAGCAAGTATAAGTGCTAGCTTTTATTCCTCCTGAGTACCAGAAGTGGCCCATCAGCGGAGGGGAAGGGCTCACAATGATCACAGGTTTTGCTTACCTTCAGAAGGCAGGTTGAGGGGTGAAGACAGAGCTGGGAACTTCACAAGAACAAGCATTACCCCGCTTTCCTCCTGGGGACGTTTCTTAATCGCTACATCTGTTGTTTACACTAACACCTCTCTTAGATATGATATATATTCTTAGATTATTTTTTGAAATATGCTTTTATCTTTTCCCAGCTTGGCTGGAGCATCGGCCCTAAACACCTGATAAGACATTTACAGACCGTTCAACAAAACACTGTGTACACTTGTGCAACCCCTTTACAGGTATGTGTCACTTTGAGCATGTGGGAATTAGCTAGCTCCTTCATGAACAAGCCCTTCTAACACAGTGTGGGAATTTGGGGGCAGACACATAGTCATTGAATAAAGTGTAATTTCAAGATCCATGACTTGTGTCCCATCTGCAGAGCTCCTCTAGTAACATATGATAACATACTTTAAGAGACAGACAACTTGCTGGGTGGTGGTGGTGCATGCCTTTAATCCCAGTACTCGGGAGGCAGAGCCAGGCGGTTCTCTGTGAGTGTGAGTTGGAGGCCAGCCTGGTCTACAGAGCGAGATCCAGGACAGGCACCAAAACTGCACAGAGAAACCCTGTCTCAAACAAACCAAAAAAAAGAGAGAGACAGACAACTTTGATACTCATTCTTCAATACTCAACTGCAGTAGCTATTTAAAAGAAAAGAAAAGGTCACTGGGTGTGGTGGCACAGGCCTATCATGTTAGCACTTGAGGCTTCAATTAGGAGAGTCATGAGTTTAAGGCTAGTCTGGGCCACACAGAGACTTCAAAGCATGACTGGACAGTATAGCAATCCCCCATGGGAGATGGGGAGCAGGCAGAGAACAGTGTAACTGATGAAGGATGATTTCCAGAGCACATTGTGAAGTCAAACAAAAAAAAAGAGCAAGATACATGGCGCTGTTTATTTATACTAATTTATATTATATATTGTGTAACAAAAGGGGGAAACTGTGCTTTCTAAAAAGAGCTCTTAGATAGTCTGTAAGAAGCTAGTAAAATGCTACCCGTATGTAGAGGCCCCATAGACAGTAGACTCTTTCTACCAGGTCAGTCTTTTTCTCGAGCACAATGCCATTCCTTAACCTTCCAAGCTGTGGGATGGCAGGCAAGTACCACCACTCCTGGCCTTTAATGTATGTCTTTGTTAGACGGTTGCTATTTTTATATACATTTCTAGAAACAGATCTATTTATCATTCTCCTCTGAATACCCCAAATACTAGAAAGTGTTCTACTTCTAGAAGGCAGTTAAAGCACAGGAGAGTAAAAGTATTGGCTCCATTGAACCTGATTGATTGTTTCTCATCAAAGGTGTCTGCCCAATAGGAAAAATTTCCATTACTTTTAGTGATTCTCTAAAGCAACCTTATGATAAAGACTCATTCTGAAGCTTTGCTTTATTATATTTTAAGTTCATTTTATCACCTTAAAATAAAGCCATTCACTTACTCTTATTCAACTAAGATTTACTGAAGATTAGAGATTTTACAGACAAAAAGCAGCTTCACTCATAGGGCTTACCACCCATAGAGGAACATAAATCATAGAGATGCTTTCAAAATATATTATGTCAGATTTTGATGGACACAAAGAGAAGGTAGGGAAGAAGGAAGATGCAATGATCCAGGTTGGAGAGTATATGATGTCATATTGGGAGGTAAGCCTCATGGAGAAGACAGCATCTGAGTGCTGGTTAACCTAGAGAAGAGCCCTGTGGCCTGAGAGAATAGGAAGAGCTAAGACCCAGCGGTCGACAGCATGGCTGCCATATCATATCATAAACATGGCTACTGGGATGAGGTGACCAGGGGTGAAGAGTAAGAGAGCCTCAGATCTGAGCAGTAGCTGGGAGTCACATCAGGCTGGGACATGTACATCACTGCTAGGACTGAGAGACACAAGAAGCCGTGAAACATGATCATACGTTTTTCAAAAGGAGTCTGGTGCTTCATTAAGGGAGAAGGTAAGGGAAGAGTTCCACGAGAGATATCAGTGGATTGAACCAAGGTGAGGATGGCAGAGGTGATGTGGAATGATGGGACCCTGGATAGCTGGAAGATTAAGTCAATGGTGTTTGCCACGGGGCAACACTTAGCAACCAGGCTTGGGAGAAAGAGAGGAATCCAGGTACACTTAGCACAGACGTTTGTATCTCTGTGTTCTGGATTTTCCAGGGCAATGATTTCTATAGTGAATGAACAAATTGCTCGGAAAGGTAAAGCTGAGATTCTAGACTATTTCCTGAAGCATCTTATTCTGTATTTGGGGAAAATTCCCCAGACAGCTGTGTTTGGAAACTGGATGCTGATTTCCTAGTGTGGAAGAACTGTTGACTCTGTCCTACTGCTAAATTCTCCTGCCACAGACTTCTCTCTGCTCTTGCCCCCACCACCTGTTATCTCTGTCTCTTGCTACAGTTCTATCATACAGAACAGATTTTCTCCCCTGCCCTTTCCACTTCACCCCTGCATCCACCCTTCAATAGGTACTCATTGGAGTTTTTATGACAGCCAGGGCTGTGCCTATGTTGTGAACTGTTTGGTCCCAGCTCTTACCCAAATGGCTCACTTTGCCTGCCAAGCATCTGGCCTTCTGCTTGGCAGATCTTTGTGCTGTATGCCTACTTTGATTGTGACCTGTTTTTATCCTCCTGACCTGACATACTTCCCAGTCACCTGATCCTTATTGACTTAGTCTGTGAAGGTTGCTGTAACACAGTACTAGAGACTGTGCAGCTTATAAAGAAAAGGAATTTATTTCTCATGGATCTGAAGATCACTGGCAGATGCCACATCTGATAAGGACCTACTACTACCTCATAGGTGTCACTTTTTCAGTGTGTTCTTTCATGATAGAAGTGGTGCTCGTTCCATTCCTGGGGCCTCTAATCTTCTGTCCTAATCATCCCCAAAGGCCACACCTCCTGAAGCCTGTACCTTGGAGACCAAAGACTCGCCATATGGAGAGGGGGAACACGAACGTGAAGCCCTTTGCTCTTTACAATATTGGCTTTTCTTGGTCCCACTTCTCTCTTCTCTTGAGTCACCACTGCTGGAGGAGTTGCCCACACATTCTAGATGCTTGTTTCTAGTCCCTGTTTAACTCACACCACTTTCCTGGAATCAGAAGGATTTTAGCATTTCCTCTGAGGAATGAGGAACTTGTGTTTGCTTGTCTACACAGCAGGCTGGCTTTAATTTCTTCCTGTGCCATCCTAGGTAACAGGAAACATTGACTCCCTCTTCACCTCTCTGGCCATTCTTCAGATTGAGATTAGCAAGCTGGACCACAGCTCACCTCAGTAGAAAACAATACATACCTTTTTGTGACCAAGTACACTCTTTTTGTGTAACACCTCTTTTTTGGTTGGGATTTTCATGTCTTCCTGTTTGTCATATTAGATTTAAACTTTTAGATAAAACTCCTTCCTCCGTTAACTTACAGAGCGGGATAGTTCACAGGAATCTGGCTGTAATTTCCTGAGTGACTTCCTTGTCACAAATTGGATGACTTTTATTTATTCTACTAGTAAAATGAGCCATAACTGACATTACCATGCTTCCTTTCCATTTTTTTTTTTTAATCTTAACATGCAGGCAGCCTTGGCCCAGGCTTTTTGGATTGATATCAAGCGCATGGGTGACCCAGAGTGTTACTTTAATTCTCTACCAAAGGAATTAGAAGTAAAAAGAGATCGGATGGTGCGTTTACTTACCAGCGTTGGCCTGAAACCCATCATTCCCGATGGGGGTTACTTCATCATCGCTGACGTGTCTTCCTTAGGTGTGTAACCCCTTTGCTGTTTCACATCTACAGACACTTATGTGTGAAATGATAGCAGGGAAGTGTGAGGGGAAAGTATCAAAATCAGAATGGCATTTTATCTCTAGAAGAGATCGTTTCAACAATTCCAACCATTTGCTTTCCTTCAGGACTTTCACCTGAGTTTTCCCTCCTGATACGTGGTTATCAGTTTGCTGTTGTTCTGGGTGTTCTGTTACAGAACTAACTGCTCTTACTGTGTTCCAGTGTGTAACTAGAAATTCTGAATGTGAAACAGTACGCATGAAATAGTTCACTTGGAAGTTTTCTTTTGTTTGTTTATCTTTTCTAAATGCTATTTGGTAGGAAAACTGAAATTTCCAGAAGTTGTGGAGCCGTAAGAAAATACCTGCTATTTTATGCTGAAATGAATGCTGGAAAAAAGGGGTGTGACTAACCATCATGGAGAGTCTACTGGAGGCCACCCACTCAAATACCCTCTTCTAGAAAGCATTGCTAGCGCCATCTTTGCAGGCAGGAAGGCTTGGAAAGCCCTAAGTAACTTCCCAGAATTGTGCATCAGGAATCTTTATAGTTCTGTTTCCAAAAAGCATGGGATTATTTCTTCATTTTACATTAGGGTGTGGGGCACAAGCCAAGGCTCATGTGTGGAGGTCAGAGGACGGCGTTTGGGAATCATTTCTTTCCTTCCACCATGTGGGTTCTGGAGCTTGAATTCAGGTCATCAGACTTGCCTTTATCTGAAGTTGATGATATAATCCTGACTTGCCATCAACAAATCTTCGAGCTGGAAGTATAATGATGTTTTTACACGAATCTTGTTGACCTTTGCCAACCTATGCAGGTCCATCTACAAAGACCTGGGATCTGAGGACCTTAAAGAATGGTCGGCTCGAAAAACCAAAAAAAAAAAAAAAAAAGAATGGTCGGACTACAGTCTAATGATGTAGACAACCTTACCTCAGTTTCAGTGTACTTTATACATGAATGTAGCAAAGAAAGCAATGATCCAAGGAAGGTTGTTTGAGTTGAGAAAAACATGATCAGAAAACCATATAAATAATACCAGTAACCACATACTAAGTATTAACAGAGCAGCCCTTTCCCAGAACTTTCTCAGGACAGACCAATACAAACACAATTGCCTGACACACACTATAGATTCTATCTGGGAAAGCACAAAAGCAAGGCAGAAGGCCATACCCAGATTCAGGACCCACTGAGGACAGCACTCAGCATAGCCTTTCATGGACTGGATCCTATAGCAGTGTTCCAACATCCATCAAGAATAAACATGTCTTATAAATTGAATGTAAACGTTTGTCACAGGAGATATGAAGTCACATCCAAGAGCAATCCAGGGAACAAAATGCACCTGAGGTAAAGGCCTTCTGCCTTTTTTCCTGGAGCCTCTCTCACAGTTGCCCAAGGCATTGTTCACCATGCATCATTCCTTTGGCCATGTTCCGACAGTTTCTACATAAAACTTACATTTCTTTAATATTTAAAAAATTATTAATAATAAACCTTTGAGTATCCTTTATTGGTTAATTATGATCACTCTAATACAGTTCTCAGTATTTTAGACTGTAGTAATATTATATGCCACTGAACTTGAAAAACTGAAGTTTCTCATTTATGCTAAATTTTAGAAACCTAGAGGGAATAAAATTCAATTTTATGTGACAAATGAATGATCATATGTTAGTTTTTTGTAAGTATGGCAGCATGCACATAGATTCATTAAGAGAAAGTGGGGGAAACTCCTGAAGTAGGAGGGGCTCCCTTAGCTCTATATTCATGTAAGAACCATTTTGTAGTACACAAGCATTAGACATTAGTAATTTTTTCATTATCACAGGTTTCAGAGAACTGGATGCTATACTTGTAGCTGAGGCTCGAGGTCCCTTTCCAGGAAGTGGTCGAAAGCTCTGGCTCCATCTTGGGGTACAGGGGAGGCCTGTCCCACCTTGGGCTGCAGGGGAGGCCTTCATGGTTTTTGCAGTGTGCCTTTCCCAGAACACACTCTAATCTTCATGAAGAGCCTTCCCTCCCACAGGAAACTTGTTTAGACTGAGATGCCCTTGTGGCTCTCATCTGACCCAATCCAATTTCTTCCCACCAGATATTCTTTCAATTTCAAGTATATAAGATTTCCCACCCAAATTTATTTATTGAGAAAATAGGCGGAAGACCCCCGGGAAACGATACTCAGGGTTCTCCACGGATCCAGTTTTCCCCGGACAGTAGACTCTGAGGAGGGATTTATCCCAGTTTTGCACTAAAGTATCCTTTCCATGTTGTCAGTCCATCCTGAGCCCAGTACTAGCTTGTGTCTTAGTTCTGGATACAATGTGGTTAGGTAGGAGTCAGAAGGATTTGGATGGAAAAGCTTTTCTGTATGACAGGATGCCCTTCTTTATGACGCTACCTCTGGGGGAGATATTAACATCTCAACCTCTCTTCACATGAACAAAGTTTTACTTTACAATGTATGAATTGTTTCCCACACTAGAATTTAGCTCGCCCCTTTTTCTAAAGATAAAATTTAAATTTCATCTGATGGTAACATAGGAATAAAGGTAGCCAGGAGGCTTGGAAAGGAGAGATGGCTCAGTGGATAAGAGCACATAATGCTCTTGCAGAGGACCAGAGTTCAGTTCCTGGCACCCAAATTAGGCAGCTCACAACAGCCTGTAACTCCAGCTCCAGGGATCACACACCCTCTTCTTGCCTTCTTGGGTACCACACACACATGCACAAACCCATGTTCACTCCCATATGCATATACACAATTAAAAATCAAAGTAAATAATTTAAAAGGAAAATAAAAGTAACCGGGCATGGTGGTACACATCAATAATCCCAGCACTCAAGAAGCTAAGGCAGGAAAATTGCTGTGTGTTCAAGGCCAACCTGGGGGTACATAGTTCTAGTCCAGCCTGGACTATAATGCAAAATGCTATCTCAAAAATTTTAAAGAGAAAGAAAAAAGGAAAACCGTAATTACCATTACACCTTACAATGAAGAACAATGGCTGACTGTTTAATAGTTACTGAAAATATATGGTATGGCAGGTCTTGAATTCAGAACTCTGCTAATAATCACATTCCCAAGAGAGCTGTATGATACTGGTGCTCTCACATCCTCACTGATAGATGACAAAGACTAGCATCATGGCGTCTTCTTTCTGATGGTGAAGCAGCACTCCCCATTGCTTCCCTCACCTTCTCTTCCTGTGCTGGCAGCTGCAGGGACAGGCATGATGTCCTGTATGTGAGTGCCGCCTCAGTACGTCACTCAGTCTCCTCATGTAGTGTAAGACTCCAGCACAGTGTATCAATAACCTCTAGAAGGTTCTAGGTTAAACCTGTGTGAGTCAGGAGAAAATCTGAATCTCGACAGTCTTAAGCGGAGCCCTTGTTGTGTCAGATACAATCCTTCCGCCACCCACCTTTCCCTGTGGCTGTAGGTGCTGACCTCTCCGACATGAAGAGCGATGAGCCTTATGACTATAAGTTTGTGAAGTGGATGACGAAAAAGAAGGTAATGTTTACTGACCTTTGCAGTGATGTTTTATAGTTAGCTTATCAAGTAACCTTTGGGTGTGCTTTGTATGACATTTAATTCTAGCTTTGTTTCTTCCCCTTTATTTTAAAATTTTAGTTTAGCTTACTTGTTTGAGACAGAGTCCAACTATGTAGCCGTGGCATGCCTGGAACTTGCTGTGTAGACCAAGCTAGCCTTAAACTCTTAGAGATCTGCCTGCCTCTGCTTCCCCAGTGATTCTAGCTTTCATCCAAACAGTCCACTGTTGTATGGTATTTTGTTCGTGTTCTGACAAATAAAGCTTGCCTGGAGATCAGAGGGCAGAGCTAGTCACTAATTAACCATAGAGGCCAGGCAGTGGCGCCACACACCTTTAATCCCAGCACTTGGGAGGAGGAAGCAGGAAGATCAGGAGTTCAAGGCCACCCTGGGCTACACAAGATTGAACCGGTCTAAAAGAGAAACAGCCAGGCAATCAGGTGCATGCCTTTGATCCCAGCACTAGGGAGGTGGAGACAGGAATATGGAGTGGAGACAGGATCTCAGGGGCGCCCCCATTTGGTCTGAGGATCCGAAGAGGTAAGAAGTCACTAATGGCTGCTCCTTTGCTTCTCTGATCTTTCAGGTATTAACCTGATATTTGACTCCTGGTTTTTATTGATAAGACTAATTAGGATCACGTTTCAGTTCACTTAGGACTTCTGGAGGGATTTTTTTTTTAAATATTTATTTGTTTATTATGTATACAGTATTCTGTCTGCATGTATGCTTACAGGCCAGAAGAGGGCACCGGATCAAATTATGAATGGTTGTGAGCCACCATGTGGTTGCTGGGAACTGAACTCAGAACCTCTGGAAGAGCAGACAGTGTTCTTAACCGCTGAGCCATCTCTCCAGCCCCTAGAATGTATTTGTTTATATTCACTCCTTTCCACTCCCACTCCTGTTGGCCTCTTTTTTTCTTCCCAACTAGTTCCCATTTAATTTATTTTTTTCTTTTCTTTTTTTTTTTTTTATCAGAGCTGAGGACCGAACCCAGGGCCTTGCGCTTACTAGGCAAGCACTCTACCACTGAGCTAAATCCCCAAAACTCTGGAGGGATTTTAAAAATATTTTGCTTCTTAAAACTTATGAGTGTCAACAGTACCTATTTCTGCTGTCTGTGGTCTCCTCACTGACATTTGGAAAGTGCACAGCCTTCCTGTTGCATCCTCGTCCTTGTTTTTCAGAAACTGTCAGCCATCCCTGTTTCAGCGTTCTGTGACTCGGAGTCTAAACCACAGTTTGAGAAGCTGGTGCGGTTTTGCTTCATTAAAGTAAGTTTTTGTATTCTCACAAATGTATCTTTTATTCCAATTTATAGAGCATCTTTTTCCTGTTTCTAAAAATGATATGCATACAAAGTGACACTTTTTAAATTTGACGGGGTGCCATGAAGTTAACTGTAAATCAGTAGTCAGCTTCTGTTTGCTGTTGTTTCTAGTTTGTTTATTTGTGGTTTCTTGCAGCAGGGTCTCACTCTGTAGCCCAGGCTGCCCTCAGACTCAGGACAATCCTCTTGCCTCAGTCTTCCAAGTGTTGGGAGCCAGCCATCCTTGAGTCAGCCTTTTTTGAGGGGAACCGTTATAATCCTACACCCTCTTCTGGACTGTGTGGATGGATAACCACACATTGGTATCCTTACATGTGTGGCATGTGCTCACACAGACACATTCACATACACACAGCTTAAAAAAAAGAAAGAAAAATGGATTTTTAAAAATGAAAATGAAAGATGTCCCTATGGCTAGCTGAGTGCATTCATCACCATTAGACCATCCTAGATCTGCTGTTTTTAAGACCTTACTGCTGGGCTGTGGAGTGGCTCAGTGGAGAAAGTATTTGCCAAGTAAGCATGAGGACCAGGGTTCAGATTCCCAGAACCCACATAAAAGCAAGATAAGCAAGGCGGGGACCTGTAACCCCATCACTCCAAAGGCAGAGGCTGCAGCCACAGGCCAGGCTGACGGCTGCACTAGGTCATAGTTGGTGAGCTCTGGATTCAGTGAGAGACCTTCCTTCAATATATAAACATGAAGAGCAATCAAGGAAGAGAGCAATGTCAGTTTCAGGCCTCCACAGGTATGCACACGCGTGCATCCATAGACATGCAAAACAAGCACATACCATATATACATGAATACATACATACATACATACTATGTGCAAAACACTCTGACTAAGATTGAGGCAATCTCTATACTAACTCGTTCATCCATAGTCTATCTAACATAACATAAACACTTTTTTGTTTTGTTTTTGTTTTTGTTTTTAGAGACAGGGTTTCTCTGTGTAGCCTTGGCTATCCTGGAACTTGCTCTGTAGACCAGGCTGGCCTTGAACTCACAGAGATCCACTCGATCCTGCCTCCAGAGTGTTGGGATTAAAGGCTTTTGCTGCCACCACACAGTGGTAAATACTATAACCTATCAACAAAATATGGAAGGCTTACCATGAGTAGAATGCAAGTATTTACAACAGAACAATGTGAGTATTCAATTGACTAAAATATAATAGAAAAAGTAAGGTTAATAAAGCATACCATCATAATTGCTGGCCTAAAAAATGTAAGTCCTAGTGTTTCTGTACTTACAATGGAGACATATCCAGATAAGTCTTGTTAAAAATCCTGTATGTTGAAAATGCCTTTGCCACAACCATACCACTGAACATTGTATCTTAGCAATGCAGTGCCCGCTAGGGTAGCAGCCATTTACCTTTCAGATCATGAGGCTCCATGCTACATATTGCCCAGCATTAGGAGACAGTATCTTACAATAAATCATTAGCCCCCCCCAAAAAAAACATCAAAATTCAAAGTATGGTTGCTACTGAATATCTGTCATCATAAAATCAAAAGATAGTCAACAGAGCCACCACAAGCCAGAGGCCATCTTTATAAACACATTCTTTGAAAATACAAACATAATCAACAGAAGGAAAAAGTCACCTTAAGACTTCAGTTAAAGCTGGGAGTGGTAACCTACACCTTTAATCCCAGCATTGGGGGGTGTGGAGGTGTGGCAGAGGAGTTCAAGGCTAGCCTGATCTACATAGTGAGTTCCAGGACTACACAGAGGAGCCCTGTCTTGAAAAATAAAAACAACAAAGTCAAACTTCAGGTTTAATCCAGTAAACACAGCCCTACCCTTTTCTCTTCTTGGAAATAACTCAGGAGAGTTATAAAATGATTTCACAAATTACCCAGCGTACAGGGAAGAGCTGCCAAGTGTCATAAAAGTAATGGTACAAGAACAGGATGCCTAGAAAGGATCTGAGTCTCAAATAATAGATGAAGCCAATGGATAGCAGGTACCAAGAACAGTAGGAATTTCAGATGTTCTGACAGTAGGAGAAACAGGGCACAAGTCTGCAGTCATGTTATGTAAACACTGTAAGGCTGGGTGGAAAGGAAATTCTGGTTGGACTGTGGATTTCCTCATTTATCTGTCAGTGTTGCCAAAAGCTGGGTTGAGGCAATATGGAGGAAAGGTCTTCAGTTAGTCCATGTAATTAATTCCCAGTTGGCTGACCTCTCCATCTCTACATGAGTGTATTAAACTTGTTGATGAACTAGAGAGAATTTCTGTTGTCTGCTAGCACTGCCCCGTTCCTCCTTGTTAAACATCTGCAAATCCATGAATCTGGAGAGATGTCTCAGTCCTTAAGAGCACTGACAGTTCTTCTAGAGGACCCAGGTTCAATTCCTAGCACCCATATTGCCACTCACAACTGTCTGTAACTCCAGTTCCAGAGGATCTGACACTCTCATGCAGACACACACATGCAGGCAAAATACCAATGCACATGAAATAAAAATTAATAAAAATTAAAAATCTACAAATCCATCTTCAGGTCACAGAGCATCACATTCTCTCTTCAGATCAATAGAGTGGTGCGTGCACTGGCAGAGAGAGCTTACAGTCGGTGTTCAGTCAGAAATCGTTCATAATCGCAAAAGGGTGAGGTGCACATTTTCAAAGAACATCATAAGGAAAAGGAAAGACACATGAACAAAACAGCTTTCATAGTATTTACTGGGAAAATGAACAGTGACAGGGAACAGTTAAAAATTGTGACATTTGAGGTTTCAAATACTTAAGACAGTAGGTTGAGGTAGACATTTTAAAGTCTGGCAAAGTGGTGGTGTGATAATGCAGGAAGATGAAACGGGATCTATTGGAGAGCAAGTAAGAAATTTTGGGGGAATATAAAGGTATTGGAAATTATGGTGACACTGAAAACTCTGCAGGACACCAAGTACTTCTCTCTAAGCACCATATCAGAGTTGAGAGAAGTAAAAGAGCATAGAATTAAAAAAAAAAACAAAAACAGAATTTTACAATGTTAGAAAGAAATTTGTGGAAGTAGAAGAAAAATGAAATATGTAGTCTCTGAAAAAATAAAAGGACAAATAGAACTCCAATAATTGTAGTTTTGTTTTCAGAAATGCCTCTGTTCACTAAATGCTTGAAATGTCTCTTGAAGGATCTAGAATAAAATCCCAGGGCTGCCTCTGGGGAAGAAAATAGAGTGGCTGAGGAAGGGTGAGGGAGGATGACTGACTGAAGAAACAACTTTGCAGGGCTAGGGAGATGGCTCAGTGCTAAATGCACCTGGAGAAGTGTGAGGACCTGAGTTGGTATCCCAAGACACACGCAGAGATAGTCCAGTTCCACACGCCTGTAATCCTATAGCATAGCAGGGGCAGAGATGGCAATCCTGGCATAATCATGCAACCTCATCAAAGTCGAAGGTGAAAACCAATACCCAAGGTTGTGCTCTTCCACACACCTCACACAAATTCATACACAGACATTGCATGCATGCACATACATCATTCCCATATGTGTACACACAAAAGATTATATATCTGAAATGTACTCAGCATGTTTTTATAGTTTCTGAAATACCATCTCAGAGTAAAGCATCTACTTAACTGCTAATGATAATCCACCATCCCCAAATGTTTCATCGTGTGTTCCCCACTAACAAGGACATTCTCCAAACCCACAGTACACTGCCCTCAGCACCATGAAATTAACATTGACAAATCATTTGTTCTACCTCTCAGCTCCATTCCAAGTCTCACCGATTGTCCCCGTTAAATCCTTAGAACAAGAAAGCAGAGGCACTCAGTCCAGAATCATGTTGCTCAGTCTGTCAAGGCCAGAACTGTGTGTTGCATTTAGTTGTCATGTGATGGTGTAACAGGGTCCTGTGCTGTTCTTTGGTGGAAGGGGCCAAGTAGGCACAGAGTCAACGACACAGACTCTGGGAGAATGTTGAAACAACAAGCTCAGTTTATTCAGGAAAAGGCAAGCCTTATATACCCTCCATCCCACCCCAGGGGAAGGGCTGATGAATATGCATCTACTGGCGTGCTATGGCTGCCTCTCATTGGTCTGGGTCATCTTCAGATCATGTCTCAGCTGCTGTTGCTAAGGCCCTTAGACAGACCCAGGTTGGCTCTCAGAAAGTATCATTTTACTGATTTGGGCCAGCTGGCCCTCAAGCCTGTTAGGGATGAGTCATCCCCCAGGATGGGACCTTACTCTTGACATTCACTGCCTTGACACTATAAAACTCACTAGCCAATTTACTTTAAGGAAACCTACTCCACATTGACTTGATACTCCGCCACGGTTCAACTCAGGTTCTTCACTTTGATAGGAACACAAAAGTGATGATTACACATGACTATAGTTTGCCTGCTACTATTAATTTCAAGCACTTGATTAAGGTGGTGTTTACATGTATTTCCAGTAAAGTTAGAGCTTTCTATTACAAATCTTAACTGTTTCGAAGGAATTGCTTTGAAATTATAGCAATAGTCCATTTCTCATCAAGTAACCTAATCATTTTACTTATTCATAGGTAGCACTAAAAACTCATAGATTTCTGCCTTATTTGATGAGTTATAATTTATCACTGTTGCTATTTTAATTTAAATTTCTCCAGAATGGGGCCACTATGGGTCCCTGTAAACTGACCTCTGTTTCTTTTGATGTGCCACCATTGTGTTGGGACATCCTCTTAACTTTCTATCATTGTTTTATCATTATCTACTCTAATCTGGAACCAGCCATTTCCAGTAAGTCTGGCTCCTTTTAGAGTAATGCTTTATGTGTGTGTGTTGGGAGGTGGTGTTTTGTTATTTTTAGTTTTGTTTTGTATATGTGTGTAGGTGTTTTGCCTGCATGTATGTCTGTACACCACATGTGCGCCTGATGCTCACAGAGCCCAGAAGAGGGTGTCAGATTCCCCTGGAAGTGGAATTACAAATGGTATGAACCACCATGTAGGTTCTGGGAACCCAACCCAGGTCTTCATTGAGAGCAAGAAGAGCTCTTAATTACTGAACTGGCTCTCCAGCCCTAGAGCAAGAGTTTTTCCTTTAAATCAAGATCTAGATATTGAGTGTTCACTGCTGTTGTGTGTTGCTGTTCCTAGGCCCTCCCAGTATATAAGCAGGCAGAGGTAGAGAATATATAAATACATTTGCACAGATGCACATTTATATATGTCAGTCATACCTCTGTAACAAGGGGTGATTAATTGCATACTCCCACAAATCTGTATTTCCAAACTCCAGGATATTCAAGTGACATATAAATGGCATACTATTTGTCTGTAACATATGCACATCCTCTGTATACTTTAAATCATCTCTAGGTTATTTATAATCTACTACAATGTAACACCATGCAAATAGATGTTATAGTGTATTGTTTGTGAATCCTAACAAGAAAAAGAAATATGTGCATGCTCAGTGCAGGTGTAATTTCTCCTTTCACATATTTTCAGTCATCAGTTGGTTGAGAAGCAGAACCCTTGGGTAGACAGAATTGATTGCATCTGTATTTATTTGTATCCAAATTTATTGAAAATTATCATAGGGTTAATTGTAATTTTTTTCCATTTCTGTGTTTGTAACTCCCTTCTTCGAGAGTGAAACCTAGTTCTCATCATTTAATTACTTAATACCTCTGTATGTGATTGACCTCTGGCCAGTCACACACACACACACACACACACACACACACACACACACACACACACACACACAGACACCTCTCAGTGGATGACCCTATCAATATATTTTGACATTTTGAGCCCAGACCCTGCTCTGCCATTCTCCCTCAGAGGTACCTTCCTCACAGTCTCTGTGCCCCACACTAGACATTCTCTGATCTCACTTTCAGGCTGTCACACCTCATGGCAGGTGTCTGTTGTATTCAGCATCAGGTCACCTGCATGGGCTGCCCTACCACACAGAGGCCTCACTAACTTGGATCCCTATCAGGTCAGAACCACCCCTGCTGGTGTCAGCAACTTTGACATGCACAGTGGCTGCCCTGACTACACCATTCTACTCAAGGCTGCTTGGGCTCTCAGCCCCAGGAGCTGGCTTTCCTGCCTAACCATTTTGGTAGAAAGAGCAGATGGAAGGGGTGCGGGGAAGGGAGAGAGAGGGAGAGGAGAACAACACAAGACTAGATCTTCACTATTACCTCTTCCATTCAATTTCTTTCTTTCTTTCTTTCTTTCTTTCTTTCTTTCTTTCTTTCTTTTTCTTTCTTTCTTTCTTTCTTTCTTTCTTTCTTTCTTTTTGTTTTTTTGTTTGTTTGGTTTGTTTTTCGAGACAGGGTTTCTCTGTGTAGTCCTGGCTCTTCTAGAACTCACTCGAACTCACTGAGATCCACCTGCCTCTGCCTCCTAAGTGCTGGGATTAAAAGTGTGCACCACCACCACCCAGCCCATTTAATTTCATATCATAAACATACATTGTTGGGCTGGAGAGATGTCTCAGCAGTTAAGAGCACAGGCTGCTCTTTCAAAGGTCCTGAGTTCAATTCCCAGCAGGCACATAGTGGCTCACAATCATCTGTAATGGGCTCTGATGCCCTCTTCTGGCATTCAGGCATACATGCAGACATAAATAAATAAAAATTAAGAAAAAAAAAACATGTATTGTCTGTTCAAAAGCTAAGAGGATTAGTTTTCAATAATCATAGCAGTTTTTCCCAGAGTATTGATTAGAATGAACTATTTTCCTTATTGAAGGCAAACTATAGTGAAGAATACAATGTTCACAGATAAGGAAATGAAGCCTGAGCATATGATTGGATTTTACTGGCAGCCATTAGAACGAAACCTAGGAACTGCCGTGAGAGGTTGTCTTGGAGAACGGAGGGGTTGACAGGAAAGTGGGGAGGAGTTGCCTGCTACTTTTCAATATAGTGCATCTGAACGCATTGACTTCTTTCTCTAATTATAGTTAATTGAATAGCTGCTTTCAGTTCTTCAGTTTTTGTTTCCTTTGAAAATATTGTGTGTGTGTGTGTGTGTGTGTGTGTGTGTGTGTGTGTGTGTGTGTGTGTGTGTTCATGTAGGGCAAGAGAGGTCATCATATCCCCGGGAGCAGGAGTTTTAGGCAGCTTTGCGAGCCGCCCACCCCACATGAGTCCTCTGTAAGAACAGTATACACCTCTAACCACTGAGCCATCTTCCCACCCCTCACAGTTTAGTTTTTGCATTTGTGTTTTTACTTTGAAATTGTTTCTTCACCTAAGACTAGATATTTTCTTGTGTCTTCTAGTTTTGTTTTTTCAAGACAGGGTTTCTCTATGTAGCCCAGACTGTCCTGGAACTCAGTCTGTAGCCCAGGCTGGCCTCAGACTCACAGAGATTCCCTGCCTCTGTCTCCCGAGTGCTGGGATTAAAGGCGTGCAACCACTGCCAGCACCACTACCATGTGGCTGTATCTTCTATGTTTAAATATTGCTGTAACTTGAGTTTATATTGATATATAACGATACAATTCTTTTATTAATTTCCAGAAAGACAGCACACTGGATGCTGCCGAAGAAATCATCAAGGCATGGAACAGCCAGCAGTCTTGATGTAAAATAGGTGTGAGTGTTCCAGCCTCTTGCAAGGGCTCAGTACTCAGTGCTGCCACCTTGTGGGCACTATAAAGAAAACATTTCAGGACAAACATCACTGTCTTTCCAAAATTCACCCTATTCCTAACACTATGTAGTAAATTCTGGTTTTATTCATTTGGAATATATTAAAATATTTTCCTGTATTTTGTGAGAGTCAGTTTCTCTATGTTGTATTTTCTCATCAATGGAAACAGAAATCACATTTACATTTACTGTACCAGGTGTGGTAGCATATGTCTGCAATACCAGTGCTTGGGAGGCGGAGGCGGGAGGTCATCCTGGGCTACATGAGACTCTCTCTCAATAAATGAGACAAACAAAAGCCACACATACTTCACAGGAAGCTGGTCTGTAAGGATTGCTGGCTCTGTCTGTAGACAGCATGGTAAGCTGCAGACACGCGATGTGGGCAAGTTTCACTTCCCCGAGGTGTTCACACCCCAGCAGCGATGTGGGTGCCTGTAGCTCCCTGCCAAAGACACGGAACTTTGCTCCTGGCTTTGCTTCTCTTTTCCCAGCGCTTCCATGCCTTGGGGTGGCTTCAGGGTCCATAAGGGCAGCCTAGGTTTCTCATCCCTTGACCTTGTTGCCTCTGCTGATACTCACCTCTACTCCAGCTGAGCCACCCACTCCCTTGGCCACATGGTGGAACTGTCATCACTCAAGGCTGTTTCACCTTTGAGATCCTCATGTCACTGTACCACCTGCCCTCCAGCTCATGGTTTCCCAAACACCCCGTCACCCAGCTCCTGTTTTCATGGCTGTCTCTCTCTCTCTCTCTCTCTCTCTCTCTCTCTCTCTCTCTCTCTCTCTCTCTCTCTCTCTCTCTCTCTCTCTCTCTCTCTCTTTCTCTTTTCCCCTCCCTCTCCCTTTCTCCCTCTCCCCCCCTCCTCCCCCTCCCTTCTTCCCCCTCTCTCAGTCCCTCTTTGAATGTACTACAATTCCAAACCCAATGTTTCTCAGAAAATGGTCCACAGCCCTCTTACATCAACATCAGCTAAGAGCCTTTTTAAAACAGAGATTCAACGCAGGCCCTTCCCCTGGGAGCTAATAATCTCAGGACTGACCCCTCTGGGATGATTTTTACAGAGATGACAGTTTGATCACCTCTGCCGGAGTGCACAGGACCTTCAGTGTGACTGCTGTTAGGCCTCACAAGCATGCTCATTTCCTCGCCTACCCTACGTTTCATTGTTCTGTCACTCTGGCCAGGACACTTTGACCTATTGCCATGTTGTTTGAACTTGCCTAGCTGGCCAAAAATGAGAACTCCACCGTGGGGTTGAAGTTCTGTGCCCGCACCAGGGCTTCTGAGCACAAGCAGGCGTGCACTGGTGGCTGTGAGTTCACATCCTTCGCCTTTGATAGACATCTCTCTGTGTCTGTCACTCCGAGTTTTCTCTACCTGTTACCACATCAGCCATTGCTAATTTCTCTAGGATAAGAAACAAAAATCCACTCTCTTGTCTTCCCACATCACAGCCCACCACCAGCACCACAACTGAGTCACAGTGGAGTCACCTGCTCAAGGGAAAAACAGAAAGACAGATAAGAAACTGCTTGCAATATACCTTACCTGGCATTTGTCCTTTCTTCATACACATAGTAACAAAGGTCATCCCTGAACCTGTCCGGGCCACACAAGTTGGGGGTAGTGATAGAATAGTTGTTAGTTAAAAATTGGGTCCTCAAAAGGAAAAAAGCTCATTGTTAGGAATGTAGCTCAGTGGTACAATGCTCACCTAGCACATGCTAGGCCCCTTGCTTGGGTCCCAGACCAAAAAAAAAAAAATAGTAAAGCTTAGAACCCCTGGAGACAGCTATTAAATGGCATACAAAATTTAGGAAACTTTTTTTTTTAAGATTTATTTATTCATCATATATACAGTGTTCTGTCTGCATATATGCCTGCAAGCCAGAAGAGGGCACCAGATATCATTACAGATGGCTGTGAGCCACCATGTGGTTGCTAGGAATTGAACTCAGGATCTCTGGAAGAGCAGCCAGTGCCCTTAACCTCTGAGCTATCTCTCCAGTCCCCTCACAGGAAACTTTTGCCCTTCAGCCTTGCTGAGATCTTGGGGAGGCTATCACCCGGCCTTGGGCCCGCTCTTTGCAGCCAGCCCTGGATTTGTTCAGTGCTCACCTCGCCACCCATGCTCCATCAGGTTCCTGTGTCTCTTCAGAAGTGACTTGTGTCCATACCTCTCCCATCTTATAGTTTTCTTCCTGGAATTCTTTTTCTGTTGTCTTTCTCCAAGGAGCAAAATTCTTCCTCCTTCCTTCTTGGTCTCACCGCCCTCTCTTCCCCACCTGTCTTCCCTTCCACAAGTAGGACCTCATGGTTGTTCATCAGTGGACAAATAAACACATAGCCCTACCCTAACCATGGCAACTCTTATAAAGGAAAACATTTAATGGGGTACCTTGCTTACAGTCCAGAGGTTTAGTTCATGACCGTCATGGCAGTGTGCAGGCAGACATGGTGCTGGAGCTGAGAGTCCTTGTATCTTGATCCAAAGGCAACAGGAAGTGGTCTGTCTCTCTGTGCATAGCTTGAGTATGAGAACTCAAAGCCCACCTCCACAGTGACACACTTCCTCCAACATGACCACACCTAGTCCACAAAGGCCATATCACCTAATAGTGCCACTCCTTTTGGGGGCCATTTTCTTTCAAACCACCCCAGCGAGGTAGGCCTTGGTGGCTGATGTGTGAGCAAACATTCTTTAGGATGTTTCTCTCAGAATGATTTTAGATGAGATTACCAAGAAAATGGGTGGATTTTGTTTTATTTTTGAATTTTGTGGGTCATTGTTGCTCTTATTGTTTGTATGTAAAGGTTGTGTTGTTTTTGTGATGAGGATCAAGCCCCTGGTCCAAGTGTACACTCCACCATTCAGCAACACCTCTAGCCCTGGAAATAGTGGGTTTTGAATCAAACAGGTTACCTTTATAATATGGACATGTGTCATGATGACTTGAAGCTTTGGATAGAACACAAGGTAACACACAAACACCGCAGGGAGATTCTGCACCTGCCAGCCCCCGCCCCCGATCACATAAAGCAAAGCTTTAAAATAAGCATTTTCCATATGTCTACACACACAATTGTTCCATTTCTCTGGAGAACTAGGACTGATATGGACAGGTCAGCCACAGGGCCGATAAGTCATCTACAGATCCCATAAGTCATTCTTTGATGTCATCTGTCACTAACTAAACACATGGACACTCCAAGATAACAAGAAACTTATGAAGACTTCTTGTACTCCAGAGGAAATACAATGAAATTACAGTTTGGCTTTGAAAAAAAAAAATGTCCACCTTTTCTTTGACTATTTCTACTGTTTAAGCTAAAAAACCAAATTACTGAATTTCTCAGCTTTTTGTGCAATTATTTCTAAGTGTCTTAGAAGGTAATAGATGGGAGTGAAAAAAAGACTTTTTGTCCTCTGTACTTCTAGCTGCTTCCACCTGGAATGTAGTAGCAAGGTACAGAGATGCAGCCTCCATCTTGCATTCTTGGAGGAAGCCGCATGAGGGTGTATGTCTGCATGCTAAGGAGTACAAAGTGCAGAAAGATGGAAAGAGGTTGAGCCTTGCCTTGGAAGCCACTGCATCTACTAATAGACTTTGTCATGCACAAGATAAATAAACCTTTATTTGTTTAGCCAATTAGAGTGCTTTCTATTTTCTGTAGATGAATGTGTTGCTATCTGATATAAAGGACAGTTTGCAGGTCAACCTCCCGGAAGATCCATTGATCAAAGGCAAGGAGAGAGCAGCCCCTCCCTCAGTAGGTACCATCAGACCCCAGGGAAAAGAGTGTCAGGCTTGGGAGGATGTAGGAAAGGGGGACAAGTTACAGCAAATCTTGTTAAACTCAGGGATTTCCCCCATCTTAACAACGAAAGCAACTATTCAACCATACAATTAGCAAACATTTTAAATGAAAAATTATTCCCAGATAAACAAGGAGGTTCCCAAGTGGACAAACCCCAAGGCAGACAAAACAAAACATAAACCTCAACCACATGTCTGAGACATGAGAGTTTCATTGTATTGCTGCTCTGAGAATACAGCTAATTACTCCATCTTGCCAATTAAATCACAAGCTCCCCTGCTGACAAACAGCCGTCTTGGGATCGATCAAAAATAAATGGTAGTGATAACTGGATTTTCTAATCAATATTAACTTCACCATATTATACAGAAGTGACTTTCCTTACACTTACATTCAGCATTTGTGAAAGAAATATTACATAATTAATGCTGGAAGCATGATTTTTATAAACTCTCAGTTGTCTATTCACTCAATAAATATGCCACTTTGGCTGAAACTTCAAAGCCAAAGGTTCTAATACCTAGCTTCCTTTCTACATAGATTCCTAGGTTAATTCACTTTAATTCTACTTTTATGATCCATGACACATTCTGTGAAATAACAGGTGAATGAAAAAGTAAAAATCTCATGAAAACTCCCATTTTCTAAACTTCTTCCCTCAGTAATGCTGTTCTCTAAAACACTGGCATCATGCTCCACCTTGGATGTGATGGTTTTGAAGAGCTCAGGACCTCACACTGGCAAGCTCAAGAGACGATTCACCAGTTAAGACCACATGCTGATTTTCCACAGGACCTATGCTCGGTTCCCAGAACCCACATCAGGCAGTTCACAATCCTGTAACTCCCCCCAGGAATTCTAATGCCCTCACTGGCCTCTGTGGGCACACGGGCACACACACACACACACACACACACACACACACACACACACACACACAAAGCTTAAAAACATTTACATTGATTGTCTCATTCAGTATAGAAGCTAGTGTGTTTACCCAATTATTATTTATCAATAAAAACTTGGGAGTCAGATATTG